CGCTGCTGTAGTCAGAATTTGACAGCCCTTGTGCATTAGTTGTGGGAGAATTAAAAATATTCTTGAGTCATTAAGGAGAAATAAAAATATTACTGTTTTGCTGCAGTGCTTACCGAAATGTTTCAAGTTAGAGAGACACTTCCTCTTTCATGCTGGGGGAGCTTCTCATTTACCACAGGGTAAAGGCGAGAGCACGAGGCAAACCGCAGCAGAGATGCTGTGCAGCAAGAACACCGCTCACCTTGCCTTACCCCACAGCAACACACCTACATCTCCGTGCCCGCAGAAAGAATTCCTTCTCATGCTCCCTTGGGAGCTCCTACTAATACATTATGCTGTCTAGAAGAAATTTAAAATCAGGTGATCGATCTCAGGGGTTTAATGTGAAGAAAGCCTTTCTGCTCAGAGCATTTTGACTTTCTAAAAGCAATGACTGAGGCAAGTGACACGTTTCAAAGATCTGTCCCATCAACCTGTGGTGCCCTGGGACACCCACAGAACTGTGGGTTTTCAAGGCTTTCTTTTTTTTTTTTTTTGCAGAGGCAACAGCTCATCCTAATTAATTCCCTGTGTGGATGTAAATTTGGAATCCACTTTGGAAGTAAGAAAAATTAATTTGCATTGCAATGCTTGCATCCTGCGAGAGTATCCGTGTTACGGCGGTCCGTTTAAAATTCACACATAGATTTAATATCAATTAACAGATATGAGCAGATCATTTCTGAGGCTCAGGGAGCAGGTCCCCGTTTGCCCGTGGGTGCCTCCCAGCCCTGCTCAGGATTTCCCGCAGCCCCGCGGCTCCGGGGCCGCGGCAGCAGCCGGGGCGGGAGCGCTCCTGTCCCTCGCTCCTGTCCCTCGCTCCTGTCCCTCGTTCCTGTCCCTGCGGCCCCCGAGCGGCCCCGGGCACCGCACGGGCTCCACCGGGGCCAGCGCAACCCGCATCCCGGCAGGGATGGGATCCCAGAGGGATGCTGGAGGGATGCCGGGGGTGCCGAGGGATGCCGGGGGATGCCGGGGGATGTGTTCTCACACCAACACTCGCGGTTCGCCCCTCCTGGGGGCTGCGCTCTCGCGTTCCTGCCCGCACTAGCATTCTGCCACTTCCCATCGTGGCAGGAGGGCAGCGCTTGTCACTCACGGCAAAGCACGAGGCACACGCGGGCTCTGGGGCTTTTTGCACTGGCAGCCTGGCATCCCCTCCCTCTGCAGACGTGGGAATCTCACGGTGCATCTGCTTTCACTTTTGCATTTGGCTGACCTACATTGCACGCAGCCACTCGGAATCACACTGCCCTCCCGGCTGGTTTTGAGATCAGCTTTAACTCGGGCAGGGTGTTCAGTGCTGTAACTCAGACAGGGTGTTCAATACAGGGTGTTCAGTGCTGTAACTCGGGCAGGGTGTTCAGTGCTGTAACTCAGGGTGTTCAGTGCTGTAGCTCGGGCAGGGTGTTCAGTGCTGTAACTCAGGGTGTTCAGTGCTGTTGCTCGGGCAGGGTGTTCAATACAGGGTGTTCAATGCTGTAACTCAGACAGGGTGTTCAATACAGGGTGTTCAGTGCTGTAACTCGGGCAGGGTGTTCAGTGCTGTAGCTCGGGCAGGGTGTTCAATACAGGGTGTTCAGTGCTGTAGCTCGGGCAGGGTGTTCAATACAGGGTGTTCAATGCTGTAACTCAGGCAGGGTGTTCAATACAGGGTGCTCAATGCTGTAACTCGGGCAGGGTGTTCAATACAGGGTGCTCAATGCTGTAACTCGGGCAGGGTGTTCAATACAGGGTGCTCAATGCTGTAACTCGGGCAGGGTGTTCAATGCTCTGCTGCCCCTGCCTGCCGCTCCTGCCATCAGCCAGGCAAGCCTGCCGGGCTCCTCGCCCTGCTCCTGGCCACCAGCTCTGGCTTGGAGCCCGGGCATGAGGGAAAAGCATCGTGAGTGTGCTCCAAGCAGCAGGGAATGGCGTGGGGAGCAGTTCAGTCCCCAGTACGCTCCAACCCGGGCATTTCCAGCGATGCCCACAGCCTGTGCGGGTGCCCGGGCTGGCCCAGCCGTGCCAGGGCTGTCCATGGCAGGCAGGCAGCTCCCCGGAGCCGCACAGAGCTGGTGAGGAGCCAGCAGTGCCAAACTGCACCGGGAGCTGTGTTCCCTGGGGGCAGCCTGCCCTGCCAGGCCTCCCAGGGCAGCTCCGGCACGGCCCGGCAAGGACAAAAGGGAAATGCGCCGGTTCACCTGCGCATTGTGCGCTGCTCAGATGTGGGGATGTGCAGCAGGAAATGGGAAGAAGAGTCTTAATTTTCAAGTATTGTTTCCCAAACCATTTGAAAATTGGGGAGCCTCGGAGTGCAGGCGCATTTCCCTGGGGGTTGTGCAGCGGTGGCACTTCAAAGGCAGGAGGTGAGTAAGGCTGACATTTGCATGTGCAAGCAGCACTCACACATCCCCGATGGGCCCCGGTCCTGAGCGTGCTGTTATGCAGTCAGCGTGCACTGAAATTACTGTAATTGTGCTTCCAAAATAAAGTATGCACCAGCCCTTTTAATTTGTATAGAGATCACTGTTTAATTACCTGCACTGTGCTGCAATCTAACTTCAAGAAAAAAATGTCCTGTAACAGTAGGCACAGGCCTATAACCCCCTGTGTGTGTGCTGTGTGAAAAGGGAGCATTGGCTGGTGCATTTGGGGGGGCCAAAGACAGTGAAGAAGGCTGGGATCTGCACAGCACTGCATGCAAAAATTGAAATAAATTAGTGCCCCAATGGAGCCTTTAATAAAATATCTAACATCGGGAGTTATGTGCACTCTGTCACTCAACATTTCTACCTTTTTCTTTTCTTTGGAAAGTGAAATTAGAGCTGAATTGACACCATTTTCTGTGCTGGGAGCACGTCTAGAGATCTGCATGATAATTTTTACCTTCAATCACAGTTGCACATATTAAGAAGAAAACTACTGAGATTTGTATAGAAAGGAAAGGCAATTTTTGTACTTTTCTAGCAGCTTCACAGTCACAGAGAAATCCAGATCACTTGTTTTGAGACATGACACCGCTCCATCTAAACCACACTGAGGAAAGGATCCCATATTTTAAGCCTTGCAATTGATGCATCCAAAAATGAAACAATCCCTTTCTTTATGGCCTTTTGTCCATGTGTGAAGTGCTCACAAGCACTAGAGGTGTTTCACAGCACCATGGCGCAGTCCCATGGGCAATATTGCCCAGACCCCACTTGTGGAGGGTCAGAAGAAATGTGTTTTCCATTTTCCATGACTGGTCACCAACAGACCCCACCATGTCCAACACCCTGCTCCTGCTGCTGTCCCCTGGCTCAGGCACCTCAGCTCTTGTGCAATGGCACAGATGGGGAAAAAGAATTCTTTCTTAACTCTTGCAGCTGAACTCTCTGCACTCTGCAGCATGAGACTGGAGCACACTGTTCGTTACCTTATCTTCCTCAGCTCCATTACTAATGGTCTAAAAATTAGCCAGGCCTTCTGTAAAAATCCACCCACTCAGCTGGGGCCTTTGACTCAGCTCAATGGCAGTGTTGGGGCTGACACATCCCAAACCCCACGTTCTGCCCGGTGCAAAACAAGGCCCCCACTCACAGAACCTGCTGGGCAGGGCCAGCTTTGGCTCTCTGTCTGTCCTGCACCCAGCACTGGGTTCAGGTGAGCACTGGCACCTTCAACACGTTCATAATCCACACAAATAACCCAGGTGTGCCCAGCTGGTCAGGGGCATTTGCCAGCCCCACACACGTTCACATGAAATGATTTGAGTCAGAAAGGTGCTGAGCACTCCCAGGATGAAGCTGAGCCCTGCAGGCTCTGCTGGGAGATGAAGCTGGTGGTCCTGCAATACTGAACTCTTCTATTGGAAACCTAAGCTGCAAACAAGTTCATTTCAAACCACAGCCCTTCAGCTTCAGCAGACTGAGCAGGGAGCTCGAGCACAGCACACCATACTCTAAAAACCAGGCTGTTCCTCAGACCAGAAACTAAACATCAGCTCTGTCACTGACAATTAAATAGAGCAACAATTTCAAAGCAATTAATATAGCCAACACAATTAAGTAAAAGGTCTGAGAAGAAACCAAGAATACAAGGTTTGACATCTTTTGTCTTGAGAGTGGCTCTCCAGGTGTGTTTCCAGGTCCTTTTAAAACTTTGTGATGACAGATGCAACAGGAAAAAACAGATTGTTTCCTTTGGGCCTGATAGCCATGGCACTTGGAAAGCTCAGGCACCTGGCAAAAATACAACAGCGCATAAAAATCATGTCATTTCAGGGGAAAAAAATGCAACTGTGGTTAGCCATTGAAAAGCATGGTTGTAGCAGCCACCAGAAATCAGCAGTGTGCAGCTGAAGCTCTGGAGAAGGGCAGGGTTTCCATCTGCAGGAGGTGATTCCCAGGCACAGCAGAGCAGCAGAGGGCTCAGCCCGAGGGTTCCGCTGCAGGCAGGGTCCCTGTGGCCAGGTCGGGGCTCCAGGGCTGGGGCTGGCCCTGCTGCCCCATCCTCCCTGCCAGCAGCGCTGCCCTCTGCCCTGTGCCCTGGGGACAAGGGGCTCTGCCCCTCCAGGCTGGGCTTTAGGAGTTACTGCCCTATTAGACCGGGCTTAGCGCAAATAACAGAGCGAACAGGCTGAAAAACTGGTCCCTGGAATGGCCCCGGGGCTCTGGGCAAGTCACACAGCAGGAATGGGTGTGCAGATTGCTCCACCTGGGACGGAGATGCCGTCATTGGCCATCAGCCTGCTGAGCAACACCCAGCATTGCTGGGTGCCCGATGGAGCCCTCAGCACGGTGGGTGAGGGCAGGGCAGGGCTGGACAGGGCGTTGTTGGGCCCTGCTGGTTCCTGTAAGCCACAGCCCCACTTCTCCTTTCCTCCTCAGGGCTCCGTCTGACAGGAAAGCTGCCCCGGCCCTGTTGGGACACCGGGCACAGGCCATTGCACAAGGGCACCTCTGGCACCTTCCTGTGCCCCCTCCCTCCGAGATGTGTGCTCACTGCCTCCTTTCCTTCCTCTTCTCCGTTTCCTTGCTGTTGCAGGAGGGCGAGCGCCGGGACAGTGAAGAAAGCAGCAGAAAGGAACTGCAGACGGGGAAGCATCCAGCGGCGCCATTTACGGAACCTGCTGCCCCCGGAGATGCAGTTTCTCACTGCGCTGTCATACATCCCCTGTTGCTGCCTATTACTTAATCTTTGCTTCCTCAAAGAGCACCCAGAGTTGGGTAACAAGTTTCCTGAAGGTGACAGAAGCAAGGAAAAGATAGCACTTCAATGATAAAAGTGAAAAGTTTGTCATAAGGGACTTGGAGCCACATCCACTACTGAAAGAGGAAAGAAGTGTCGAGTATGAGGGGCACACCCACTAAGAACACGAGGAAAATTCCTTTTCTGATCTGGAAACTCGTGGAAAAGGTGCCCCACTAGCCACTGTAATGGTCTGGAGGACAAACTCTGTGCTGGAGTGCTGCAATCACTCTGGCAGCATCTTGGCAGCATTTCCAAAGCTATTAATTAGCAGATTACTCATCAGTGCAGCTAGGGCACCCTGTAAACCGATGCCCCGTTGACCCTGCTGAATTATTTTCCCATAAATAAAGTGCAAAGCTCACAGGTTGCTCTCCACAGGACAGAATTTTTTCTCTTCATTTTCTCAGTCAGAGCAGCTATTCAGAATGGTATAAAAACACCTGCTCAGCCCTGAGCAGCACAGCAGCCTGAAAGGGATCCTGTGCCTGCAGCCCTGCACACCACATGTGCCCTGGACAGAGCAGACTGAGCACACACGCAGAGGGGCCAGAGCATTTGCAGGCTGCTGCAGGCTGAGAATGGAGCTTGTTTAGAGGGGAAATGTTGGCAAGGACGCTGGGATTCACTCCCTGCTCATTGAAAAGGTAAAAGAGGATTTTTAATGCTACCTGAAGGGCATTGGGGTTGGTCTTGCCCTGGCAGAGCCCCTGTGGGCAGCAGGTTCCTCTCACCATGCTGTGAGTGCTGGCAGCATCCAGAGCCGAGCACAATTTCACTTCAACAACTGGTGGTTAACTCTGTGCCAACAGTAATTAGCGTCTGTAAAGAGTTTATAGCAAGAAACCACAGCAGTTTTATTTATTGTGATGGAGAGTCAAGAGGGCTTGACTCTTCACGTGTTCTAGGCAGGGTAGCATTAAATGTGGTTCCAGTGAGTGCCATAAGCAACCAGAGAAGGAGCAGGTGAGAAGCTGCAGGGGGCTGAGAGCCCAAAGGTGTGAACAGGCTCCCTCCAGATCCTCAGGAATCCCAGGAGAGAGGAAGGGCCCCAGTGCAGAGCCTGGCTGTGAGCTGCCAGCTGTGCCAACGCAGCCTGGGGCTCAGGGCTGATGGGGACCATGCCCACTGCCCCGAGCAGAGGGGGCTCCTCCCAGTGCCAGCCCCGGGGCATTTGCAGCTCAGGGCTGATGGGGACCATGCCCACTGCCCCGAGCAGAGGGGTTCCGGCCTGCAGTGACCTCCCAGTGCCAGCCCCAGCGCATTTGCAGCTCAGGGCTGCTCCGTGGCGCTGCTGCCACCCCAGGCTGCTGGCAGGGCCAAGGTCAGGGCTCACAGCCACTCACTCTGCCACCAGCATTGTGCAACACGTGTCCAGGACCTCACTGCTGCATTTGCATTTTGCTCCTGCTGAGATGATTCCCTGCGCAGGAAGCAGCTTTTGGCATAGATGGGAATGTTGCTGAAAATAATCTGAAAGGCAAAGAGGGCTAAAATCTACTGTCATGATGTTTCTGAGTAAATAAAGATAAGGGCGATGGAAGCTCCTCTGGCAGGGACATTAGCAGAGCCTCAGCAAATTGGTTTAGCACCAGAAAATTGACATGGAGCGGAAACAAGACATCCAAAGCAAGGATGTGCTTTCACTAGGCACCGAGCCGAAGTCATTTGAGAAGAGGCAGCGGAGCTGGTTCCAGAGTAGCTAATTCATCTCCCCTTATCTCCCCTTGGCAGAGGCTCGCTGCCTAAAGAGTGCTTGATGTGTGCCTGCTGCTTCCTCCCTCCCCTCACGGCCGAGCCTTGCACAAAACAAGAATTGGTTCTGTCGTAAATGACTCCAGCTCCCCTGGGCTGCAGAGAAACAGCCCCAGCTCACTGGGCACCGTGTGGCACCCTGGCACCCTGAACCACACGGCAGCACTGGCACAGCTCTGGGTTCAGCTCTCTGCTAAAACATTTGCTGGAATACACATGCCAGTTAGAAACACTTTTTTCCATAGCATTTGTGTGTTGGTAAAGGCCCAGACTGATTCACCGTCACAAAACACTTCTCAAGTGTGGCTTAATTTGCTTAATGAACCTCAACTGCCCACCAGTCTTAGTGCCTGATGGCATTGCTGCGGTGTGAACCCGGTACAAACTTCAGGGAGGCACTAAAACAACAGGTTTGATATCTGCAAGATATAACACATCTTATTCTCCGCTAGTCAGACTCACTCTGTCAGCAGTTCATTTAGCAGGGCCAGGATTCTATGGACAGAGATACTGGAGCATCCTGCTGGACTGTTTTGTCATAAAATGACTCTCCATATTGCATTTAAAACCAAGTGGTCCCTGTTTATGACACTTTATGGCTTAAGTTTCAAACATGTCAGGGTTAAGCACAGGCTTTGGCCAAGCTGGGAATGGAGCTGGGTTAACCTTGCAGCTTGAGGCTCAGCAGCTTTTCCAGGTCTGAGCTGAGCAGACATCAAAAGGCTTTGCAGTGTGTTTGCTGGTGAATAATAAACATTCTGTGATAAGTGCAAGCTGCTGCTGTTATGGCCCCTGTGCCTGAGGAGATCCTGCCCCCTTTGTGCCTCTCTCTCAGCCATCCCGTCCCGTCCAGGTGAATTCGCGCCTCTCCTGCTGCAGCTCTGGCCCAGGTGTGGGGGCACCTTGTGCTCAGGGTGGCACGGCCTGGTTTGCCCTGAGCCCCAGGGATCAGAGGGAGCTCTCCTGCCAGAAAACCTCCTTCTGCTCCCCAGCTGTGCAGCCTGGCACGTGCCAGCTCAGCCTGATGCTTTTTCTGGACGTTTGCTAGATTTTTGGAAGGGGTGGGAAAAAGTGAACTCAGTCCATCCCTCCTTGTTGATGCTGAACTGAATAGTCAGCAAAGATGATGAGATTTTATAGTCTGGTGGTTTCCAATAAGTTTTCAATAACCTCTAAGAAAAATTCTGTATTGTTCATAGCTCTAAGCTCCTCGCATTTTTTTTTCTCTCTTGTCACCCTTTATTTTGTAATCTCCCAACAAGGACTGATTCTGCTACATTCATCTGGTAGCAAACCGAATACATTTTGAGGATTAAATAAAATGAAATTTTTATAATCCCCTGGGATACAACCTTCAGCAGTTAAAGAAAAGCAAAGTGGTGGTTAGAGGTGAGTTATGGGTTGGAGAACTGTCAGGTTCTGCTACAGCAGCAGCATCCATGAGTGATTCCTCAGAGGGAAATCTGGGTTGTCAGCTTATTGTGAATATCTGTTATGCCACTGGCAGTGACATTTCAGAGTATAAAGCCCAGTTGGTAGGTTACTATTTTAGAGCAGAAGTGTGAGTTCAGCACACTTTTATCAAAACCAGAGCACGCATGTAGCAAACTGGAGTGAACACAAACGCAACAGGAGAGGGGTCAGCATCAATCTCATCTCTTGGTGAGCCAGGGCTGGAGAAGCTGGGGGCAGGAAATGTTTCCTGCTAAGCTTTCTTGACTGGAGACACAACTCCTTCCCTGGGGAAGGGCCCATGTGTACAAATCCAAACCCGAGAGTGGCCCTGCCTCATGTGGCCTCAGTCAGGCAGGTTCTTCCCTGGTGAAAGAGCAGAGCAGCTGCGGAGGACGTGTCTGTTCAGCCCGGGAGCCCTGGAACGAGCAGCCTGGAGAAGGCAGGGCAGGCTGGGACCAGTGCAGCTCTGTGTCCCCTGCGGAGAGCTCCAGGGCCAGGAGCAGCCGGGAGAACAGCCCTGGGCAGGGCAGAGCTGAGCGCGGCGCACCCGCGGCAGCCTAAGGGTTAAAGGCTCGAGTCACGTCTGTGCCAGAAGCGAGGGACGGGCTGAGGAAAGCTGTGCTGGCTTCCAGGGAAGCTGTGCAAGCGGCCCGGCACGGGAGGGCAGGGATGGGCGGGCGCGGATCTCGGCGCAGCGGAGCTGTCAGAGGCAGCAGCAGCTGCTCGCTGTTCACTCTGCCCAGGATTTGCCATCTGTGCAGCACCGCGGCGCACACCCCAGCAATCGGGGCCTGTCAGATGCAGCCTGTCTCGTGGCTGAAGCGCAGGACAAGCAGTCAGGAGATTAAATTCTATTTATTGCTCTCCCAGTGGCTTCCAGAGCAAACGTGGGGAAATCACTTTGCTGCTTTGTGCCTTGTTTTCCTCCGAGATGCTACTTTACCTTATTAGTGGAATGAGCGCTCTTTGTTTGTGTTTATAAAGTGCCTTTTGTTCTTTGGATGCAATGCTAAGGCAGAACTGAACAAGATGTATTTACACAGAATTTCTAAAGCTCCAGAAACAGCTGGTCAGCCTTCCCACTGCTGGAGGTAAAAGTCTGTAAAATCTATCACAAATAACTCCAACCCAGCCCAAAATCCCTGTGATCGTCTGTCCACCACATTGAGACACTGAAGAAGGGATACTTTAGAGATCAATGAGAACATTGGAATATGTGAAAAGAGAGAAATAAAATTTGCTCAGACTCTGGGAGCACAGGAACTTCACAAATTGTCACTGCAGAATCATATGAAATGGAGATCAATTGATACTTGCTTAAATATTCCAAGAGTTCCTTGGCTTGCACTTACTCTGGGACTAGCCCTGAGCCTTTATCAGAATTATGAAGGAGATCATGGATGGGTCTTCATTCATAACACTTTTCTAAAGCCTGCCAATGCTTAATAAAAGTCGTTTATGGAGCAGGAGTGTGGGGTAAATCCTGCTGCCCATTCCAGATGGGGAGGAATGTCCCTCCTTTTCAGAAAAAGCTTTGTCCCACTCAGATTAACATTGCTGAAGTCCGACAGCATTGCAGTCCATACATTTCTGTATTCTCTGCCTTCCACTGAATAAATGGGGTGGGT